CCATACCCTGATTTCAGCTGGCCTAGAGGGCCCCTGGGCGTGGCAGGAGGTGGGGGATCCTGGTTCATACAGCAAATCTCTGTCACCACCCAACTCCCCCATCCCTGAGTCCCCACCCAGGCTCTATTCCTGAAAAAGCCAGAAAGAAAACACACAGAGACGTGTATAAAGACACAGACATATTCAGTCAGTCAACAAACATTTAAGAAGTGCTTATGACATGCAGAAACATACATACACATAGATACAGAAACATACAAACATAAGATAATATACACATGTACAAAAACACACAGACACACCCAGAAATGCAGAGACATGTAGACACAAAAATGTCAAATGTAGATTCTCTGGTCCTCACTTATCCTGGACCCTCTAGCTCTGCCCTGGCCTGCTTCCCCTCCTTCCCACTCCTTCTCTCCTCATCCATTCTGGGGTTCTCATATGTCACCCCTCACATCTATCCTCTGAAGGGGTTTGAAGCATGACACTTGTCTGAGCCCTGGGATGAGCTGTTCTGGGGTGACCGTTCCCTTCCCGCTGCCAGAATGCCCAAGCTTGGCCTGGGAGTCATTACTAACCTCTTCAGCACCATGAAAGGACCCTTGTCCCCAGGGCCGGCCCCAGCCTCACCACCGAGCCTGAAAGAGGGCTCCCTGTTTTGCACAGTCCCCTGTGGTCCCCCTCTCTGTTCTACTACTCTTTTCTCCCCCACAGGGCCAAATTCCAGCCAGGATTCTTCTCTCAGAGTACAAGTTCTACTTTAGTTGGAAGCCAGGAAATGTTCAATTAGGAGCAGAGCTCTCTGAGTGGGGCTGTGCTGCCTCTGAGGTAGTGAAGGCTCTTCACACCCCTAGCCCCCACCTGGAGGTTTTCAGGAAGAGACAAAATGACCACTGGTTGTCTGTGTTACAGTGGTGATTCCTTTTGGGGTAACTTTAATATTCCATGATCGATGATCATAGGTCCTGACATTCCTTTCTCCCAGCCAAAGTGATGTCTTCTGACTGATGGTGCCCAGTCAAGAGATCTGGAGGGAGGCACACTTGGAAACAGGCAGGCTGAGAATGAGGAAGTTCCCTCCTCATCTTATTCAATTCAATAAACCTTTATCAAGCACCTTCTACGTTGCAGGCACTGAGCCCAGCCAACCCAATTCCAGGGACAATATGGTGGAGCAGAGAGCTGAATTTGCTGTTGGAGGACATGGGTTTGAATTACTTTTCTGATACTTACTACCTCGTAACCTTGGGCAAGTAACTTCAACTGTCCGGTCCATAGCATCCCTTCTTGTCAAAAGACAGAGGCAGACTAAGGGATCTCCAAGGTCTATAATCTGATTCCGGGGAGCTCTCCCTGACTCGAGAGAAAGACAACTTCAGGCTCATACTTGGATCTCAGTGTAACAGGGCCTTAGTTTCCCAGTTTGTGAAGTATGGATCCCATAAGGTTGGGGGATTCATTAAGAGCCAATTCAAGTCAAGGAGGATTTATTAAGGGCCTACTATGGGCCAGGCACTGTGCTTGTCACTGCGGATACAAAAGGTAGCAAAATCAGCCCCTGCCCTCAAGGAATTCACAAGCTAACGGTGGAAAGAGTATGCACACAACTATGTGTGAACAAGAGGTATACAGGACAAGTGGGAAGCAGTCTCAGAGAGAAGGCCCTAAGATCAGCAGGACTGGGAAAGACTGCTTGCAGAAGTGGGACTTTAACTGAGGCTTGACGGAAGCCGGGGAAGCCAGGAGGTGGAGATGAGGGGGAGAGTATTCAATAGATAGCCGATGAAAACGCTGGCAGTTAGGAGATGGTGGCCCGTGTCCCCGGGTCAGAGAAAAAGCACGAGAAGACTGGAAAGGAGGAAGGGGCCAAGTTCTGAAGGGATGTGAAAGCCAAGAGAAGGTTTTCCATTTGATTCTGGAGGTGACAGAGAGCCCCTGGAGTTTACTGGAGGACAATGACCTGATCAGGTGTTTAGGAAGACCAATCTGAGGACTGAGTGGAGGCTCAGCTGGACTGAGGAGAGAGTGAGGCAGAGTGATCAACCCGAAGGCTCTTGCAATGGTATCGTCCCGAGAACCAAAGGCACCACTATCCTCCCGGGCCCTCAAGTGCCAGCCTTGACTCCCCACTCTCTCTCACTACCCCCATATTCGAGCTGTCCATCTCAGCTCTCCCACATCTCTCGAATAGGCCCCCTTCTCTCCTCTGACACTGCCCCCACTCTGCTGCAGGCCCTCATCACCTGGATGACTGCAATGGCTGCTGGCAGGGAGGGGCTGCCAGACTCAATCTCTCCCCACTCCAGTCCATCCTCCACTGAGCTACTAAAGTGATTTTTCTAAGTGCAGGTTCAACCCTGCCACCTCCCTATTCAAGAAGATCCAGTGGCTCCCTATTACCTCCAGGATCAAATACAAAATCTGTTTGATGTTCAAAGCCCTTTATAACCTCTCTCCTCCCTACCTTTCCATTCTTCTTTTTATTATTTTTGGCTGGGCAATGGGGTTAAATGACTTGCCCAGGGTCATGCAGCTAGTAAGTATCAAGTGTCTGAGGCTGGATTTGAACTCAGGTCCTCTTGACTCCAAGGCTGGTGCTCTATCCACTGTACTTTCCAGTCGTCTTATACCTTACACCTCCTCTCATACTCTTTGATCCAGTGACACTACCCTCCTGGTTATTCCACAAACAAGACACTCCATCTGTCAGCTCAGAGCATTTGCTCTGATTGTGCCCCATGCCTGGAATGCTCTTCTCCCTCATCTCTGTCTCCTGGCCTCCTCAAGGCCACACCTGGTCTTCTAGGTCCTCAGGTGTGGCCTTTTGACTGAGTCCAAGTTTTACAGAACAAATCCCCTTAATAAAAGGATTTGTTCTGTAAAACTTGGACTCAGTCAAAAGGCCACATTTGAGGACCTAGAGGGCCACACGTGGCTTCCTTCAAGTTCAAACTAAAATCCGACCTTCTATAGGGAAGCCATTTTCAATCTCTCTTAATTCTAGTGCCTTTTCTTTGTTAATTATTTCCTATCTATCCTGTATATAGCTCGTATATGTACACACACACACACACACATATTTGTTCACCTATTAGCACTGGCACAATGCCTGGCACATAGTAGGCGCTTAATAAATGCTGACTGACTGATTGTTGTCTCCCCCATTAGACTGTAAGCTCCTTAAGGGCTGGGACTGTCTTTTGCCTTTCTTGCAACTCCAGAACTTAGCACAGTGCCTAGCACATAGTAGAGCCTTAATGAATGCTTACTGACTGACTAAATGATCCAATATGGAAAGGTGAAAGGAGTGAGGAGTCGAGTCGAGGATCACACCTAGGTGTGAGCCTGGATGAGAGGGGAGAGTTGGTACCCTCAATAGTAATAGGGAAATTAGGAAGAGGGAAGGGTTTTGGGGAAAAGAAAACGAGTTCACTTTTGGACATGTTGAGCTTGAGATGCCTAAAGCGTATCTAGTTCAAGATGTCCAATAGGCAGCTGGAGATGTGAGTCTGGAGGTTGGCAGAGAAGTTGGGGCTGGATAAATAGACCTGAGAATCCCTTGCATAAAGAGGATCATCAAATCCATGAAAGTGGATGAAAGCTCCAAGGAAAACAGCATAGAGGGAGAAGAGAAGAAAGCCAAGGACAGAGCCTCGGGGGACATCCATGCTTAACAAGTGTGATAAAAATCCAGGAAAGGAGACTGAGGAACAGCCAGACAGGTATGACAAGAACCAGAAGAAAGCAGTATCACAAAAACAGAGAGAAGACAGTATTGAGGAAAAGAGGGTGATCAGTGAAAAGACTGCAAAGAGAGAAATCACTTCGTCTGATCAAAAGTAACACTGTGGCTCAGAATCTCAGATCACAGAATTTGAATGTTTTAATGTTTAATATCAACCTTGGAAATGATCTAGTCGAGGAGCAGGGATCCTGCGGCATCAAGGCCACACCTGGTCTTCTAGGTCCTCGGGTGTGGCCTTTTGACTGAGTCCAAGTTTTACAGAACAAATCCCCTTAATAAAAGGATTTGTTCTGTAAAACTTGGACTCAGTCAAAACGCCACATTTGAGGACCTAGAGGGCCATACATGGCCTCAAGGCCGCAGGTTTCCCATCCCTGATTCTACTTCAATACATATCCAAAAAGGCATCCTCATCGTAACCTCCCTGACAAGTGGTTGACCAGCTTGTGCTTGAAGACCTCCAAGAAGAGGAAAGCCATCATCTCCCTATGGAATAAAGACCCATTCCACTTTGGGGCAGATCTCATGGTGAGAAAGTTCTTCCTGACATCCAGCCTCAGTGTGCCTCTTTACAACACCCACCCACTGCTCCTGATTTTGCCTTCTAGGGCCAATCCCTCCTCCACATGACCAGCCTTTCAGATAAAGGGGGGCTATCATGTGTCATTCTCCCCTCCCTCCACACCATCCATACACCCACCCTACCCCCAGACAATTCTCATGTGATATGAATTTAAGATAGCCATGCTCCAGACCTGCTCCAGCTTTTCAATATCCTTTCTACACTGTCATGCCCAGATGTGAACATGGTGCTCCAGATGAGGCCTGACCAGGGCAGAGGGCAGTGGAATTGTCACCTCCCTATTTCTGGGAGTGGTACCTTTCTTAATAAAGCCCAAGGCCACATGAGCTTTTTTGGTGGCCACATCACATTGCTTACTCATACTGACTTTGCAGTCCATTAAAGCCCCCAGCTCTTTTTCAGAGAACCTACTCTCTAACAGTCCCTCTCCCATCCTGTGTTTGCCAAGTTGAGTTTTTTAACCCAAGTGTAAGATCTGACATCCATTCCTATTGGATTTCATCACTTAACTCAGTCTAGTGTTCTAGCCCAGGGGTGTCAAACTTGTTACTCCCTAGATTAAACTGTATTTGGGAAGTGCTTAATAAAATAAAAACACAATACAACATATATGTAATCAGACTATTCATTGGAAGGTCAAATACTGAAGCTGAAGTTTAAATACTCTGGCCACATAATGGAAAAAATAGGACTCACTGGAGAAGACCCTGATGTTGGAAAAGATCGAAGGCAGAAGGAAAAGGGAACGGCAGAGGATGAGATGGCTAGATACTGTCATGTGAACGACAAACATGAACTTGGAAAGACTTTGAGAGACAGTGGAGGATAGAAGGGCCTGGCACGCTCCATGGGGTCACAAAGAGCCAGACATGACTGAATGACTGATCAACAACAGAAGTCGATACAGGGCTGCATCTCTTTCTACCTGAGTTTTCCACCTCTGTTCTAGCCTTTCTGCATCCCAACTCTGATATTCAGGGTATCTGCTTGACTTCGTGTCATCGAGGCCTTATTGGGAGAGGGAGTGCCATGGGAAGAAGCCTAGGCTAGAAGCCAGGAAACTGGGTTCTAGTCTAGGATCAGCCCTTGATCTCTTGAGTGCACCTCTGTCAAGTCCCTTCCCCTTTGTGGGTCTCAATTTTCCTGTGTTTACATGGGCGGGTTATGTGTATGTGTGTATATGGGGGGAAGACTGGTTTGATTAGATAGTCTCTAAGGTCATTCCAATGGCACATTTTGTGTTCTAAGACACGTTCTATTTACTGGCTTTTATGGGACCTCATCCCAAGAAGCAGACAGAGCAAGACCTGAACCATCAGCTCCTCTCATCAGGCTGCCCAGACAGCCCTGGGGATCCTCCCTGGGCCTCACTCTGACCATCCGCATCTGTATCCTCATCAACAAACATTCACTGAGCTCTTGCTCAGTACCAGGAACACAAAAGGGAAGTCGGGAACTGTGTCCACAGGATATCAGACAGAATATCAGGATGCTAGGGGAGGGGTCAGCAAACATTATTGTAGGGGATGTCTTTAAAAGTCATCAGCAGAGGACTGACCAATAGTGGATGTTACTGAAAATCTGTATTGCTCTCTTGGGGTTACCAGTGGACAAGGTCACTAGCGGAAAACTTCAGGAGAAGTCACTTTTGATGTCTCTGTAAGTCATGGGTGGGAGAATCTCAGGTCACTAGTGTTGGCTATAACCACATGTCTTCAGAGGGAGACACTGCCAAAGGTCATTAGTAAGAGATGTCATCAGATGGAAAGATCACCAAAGGTCACTACTGAGACATGCCACTGAAGGTCATGAGCGGGAGACATCACTGTGATGGTCACTAGTGGGGAATGTGACCAAACATCGCCAGTGGAAGGACATCACAAAAGGATGTCACTAGTGAGAGTTATCACTAACGACATCCAGCGGGAAAAAAGGCCACTAGCAAGGCAATACCCCAGCACCCCCCTTTTGAACATGCAACTAACTCACTGTCACTAGAAGAGCCAAGGGTTATGGATGGGGAGGGATGCACCTCAGAAGAACCATTTGGACAGCATTGGCAGAGTCCTGTAGGTGGGTGGCTCCTGTAGAATCCGGCAAGCCTTACAGAATTCCTGGTGCCAGCCAGACCTGGTTACCACCTCCAGGTGCTTCCGCCATTGGAAGTATGCCAGGTAACGCTTCTCATCCTTATTCATCTTCATTAGATAGATGGCTAGTTCCTTGGGGCTCTTAAAGTCACTCACGTGGATAAAGGCGTCAGATGGTAGGAAGAGCTCGTAGTTGTACTTTGGTGGCCCATACACTATGGGGACAGCCCAGGCTGCCAAGGCATTGTGCCAAAGCTTCTCTGTGATGTAGTCTTTGTGCACAGAGTTCTCAAAAGCCAAGTAGAACTTGTACTTAGAAAGGACAGACTGCTGGGTTTTGGTTGGTAATGGCATGTGATGTTTCCCATAGACATCCACAGACAGATAGGGCTGTAGCTTCCGGAAATATATTACCCGTGTGGAGTCTTCCTTCCAATTACTCACCACCCAGGCCACCAGCTTGGTTTTGGGATAGGGAGGTCTAGTGAAGGAAATGTTTTTCGGTTCCTGCCGTGGTTTGAGCCACCCATAAGGGGTGAAGATGTCTGAGTCACTGTGGTAGGTCATGGTCAGGTTGAAGAGGCCATCCATAGCAGCCAGGTTATTCAAATGGCTAGGTGACTCAAGGCTGAACCAGATCCATCGCTGGCCAGCTGGCCAGCTGGCCGTGGTTCAGAAGGCAGCTGCTCGGAGGGCCTTCTACCCACATTGGGGTGGTGGATGATGACTGCATGGGCCCTCTTATACCAGCTATGGTTCAATGTGATTCGGCAGTTTGCCTCCTTGGTCCAGGGGCCCACGCAGTGGAGCCCTTGAATGGATACTTGCTGATTAAAAGGCCATGTCCATAGCAGGACGATGAGCACAGGGGTGTCAGATGGTGCTACTTGCACAGGGAGGCAAGGTTTCTGCACAGACCAAGGTGACAGGTACCAGTATGAGAGAAGGCTCAGGGTAAACAACAGTTGCAAAAGCAGAAACAGGAACAGCTGGGAATAGAAGTATTTTTTCTTGAGAGATGAGGTGGCCTGGGCCTTTGTGAAGCAGCTGGTACTGGAGAAAAGTGGGGAAGGATGGGGCTGTTAAGCCAGTCAGTGACTGAGCACCTTCCTAACCCTTACTCATCCCCTGCTTCTACCTCCCCTTTTCTCCCATTTCCTCTTCTTCCCTTACTTCATATTTCTTTCCAGTTCCCTCTCCCCTCCTCTCTATCTCTAATCTCCCTCTATCCATCATCTTACAAAATCTCAGAGTTGTAATGGACCTCTGAGGCCACTCAGTCCAATTCCTACCCGACTGAAAATACCCTCTATGACATTATGGAAAAAAATGACTATTCAGTCCCCACTTGGAGATCTCCAGTGATTGGGAAATTCATTACTTTCTGAGGGGGGTCCGTTCCACTTTTGTACAACTTTAACTTCACGTTTCTCTTTCTTACGCCTAAATCTGCCTCTAGGTACCTTCCACCTGTAGCTCCAAGTTCTCCCCTCTAGAGCCAAGCCAAATAGGTCTAGTACAGGGGTGGGGAACCCGCTGCTTCAAGTCTCCTCCAGCCTCCCCACGGATGGCAGGTCATCCTCCTCTAGTCACTTGGAGGGTTGCTTGCCACGCCCACGACCTACCTCCTTGCTACAGAAGTGGTCTGAGCAAATGACTAATGTGGAATCTTACGTGATTGCACTCGCATAACCTAGTTCCTATTGCTTAACGTCTCAGAAAGGGGGGAGGGGAAGGAGGCATGGAAGGGTAGAATTTAGAACTTAAAACTTAAAAAAAAGTTTAAAAATTGTTTTAACATGTAATTGGGGGAAAATAAAATATTATGCATATTTTTGAAAAGAAGTGGAGTGAGCAGGGCTGACGACAGCGGGGCTATGAGGACCCTGATCCTGGCCATCCCAGCCCCCCACAACCAGGTGTCCCCTGTGCCCCCAAAGATCTCACAGGCTTTACAGGCTGCCCCCTCCCACTGGCCACCCAGGCCTCCCCACCTGCCTATGCCCCTCTCCTCCTTCCCCCTCATCCTAAAAAGAGGCCCTACCTCTGAGGGGCCATGTCGCGCCCCTCGAGCAGCTCTCGGTCAGACATGTGCCTGATGATCCCGAGGCTTGAGCACTTCCTGTCAGACAGGAAGTAGGGAAGGGCCAGGCCCCGCCCTCCTCCTCGCCCTCCTGATTGGCTGCCTGGTCTCTGTCTGCGCCCTTCCCCCTTCCCCATCCTGGGCTCCTGAGACAGACTCGGAGACTTTTATAAAAATCCAGAGGCTCTGAGGTTCTGAGAGTCGGAAGGATCCGAGAGTTCCCGAGAGTCTAAGGGTCTGTGGTTCTGAGAGTCTAATGAGAGTCTGAGGTTCTGAGAGTGTGAGGTTCAGAGAATCTAATGAGAGTCTGAGGTTCTGAGAGTCTAATGAGAGTCTGAGGTTCTGAGAGTGTGAGGGCCTGAGAGTCTAATGAGAGTCTGAGGTTCTGAGAGTCTGAGGTTCTGAGAGTTTGTGGGAGTCTGAGGTTCTGAGAGTCCATAAGAGTATAAGGGTGTAAGATTCTGAGAGTCTTGAGAGTTTAAGGTTCTGAGTATCCATAAAAATCTATGAGAATAAAGTTCTAAGAGTATAATATTCAGTCAGTCAGTCAATAAGCATTTATTAAGCACCTGTTATGTGCCAGGCACAGTCTTCAGTCCTAGGGATACAAAGAAAAGCAAAAGACAGTCCCAGTTCTCAAAGAGCTCACAGTTTAATGGGGTGAGAGATGGGTAGGTAGATAGATAGATACATAATAATAGCTAATCTTTATACTGTTGTGCCAAGCACTGTGCTAAGCACTTTATAATTATGATCAAAATTTTAAAATAATTTGAGTTTTATTTTGTTACATTCAAGCTCCAAACTCTCTCCCTCCCTCCCCACCTTGCTCTAGAGAAGGCCACCATTTGACACAGATAGATATAGATATAGACATAGATATTAATGTAAAATCATATACTTTTATTTATCAGTTTTTTTCCTCTGGAAGTGGATAGTATCTTCCTACATAGGCCCTTTGTAGTTAATTTGAATATTTATAATACTCAGAATAGCTTAGTCATTCACAGTTATTCTTCAAACAATACTGCTGTTATTGTATATAACATTCTCCTGGTTCTAATGATCTCATTTCATCCTCACAACAACCCTGGGAGAGAGGTGCTATTAGCATCTTTATTTTGCGGTTGAGGAAACTGAGGCAAACAGAGGTTAAGCAACTTGCTCAGGGTCATCCAGCTAGTATGTGTCTGAGGCTGGATTTGAATTCAGATTCAAGACTTGAGACACAGCACTCTATCCCCTGCACCACCTAGTCTGAAATTGTAAGGTTCTACAGGTTTAAGGTTCTGAAACTCTGGAATTATAGACCGTTAGAACTTAGATTTTTAGGGATTAAAGTTGAAACCCACTACCCACTTCCCGTCAAGAGAGGTGATGGACTCCAAACGCAGTAGAAACATCCCCAAAAAGGTAAGAATTTTAAATAGGTTATATATGTGCAATCATGTAAAACATATTTCCATATTAGTCATGTTCTGAAAGAAGAAACAGGCCAAAAGGAAAAAAAAACACGAAAAAGATAAAGTGAAAATTGTATGCTTCAGTCTGCATTCAGACTTCATCGATTCTTTCTCTGGATGTAGATAGCATTTCCCATCATGAGTCCTTTGGAATTGTCTTTGATCATTGTATTGCTGAGAAGAGCTATGTTATTCATAGTTGATCATTGTACAATGTTGCTGTTACTGTGTAAAATGTTTTCCTGGTTCTGCTCACTTCACTTTGTATCAGTTCATGTAAGTCCAGGTTTTCTGAAATCCACCAGCTTGTCATTTCTTATAGCACAATAGTATTCCATTACATTCTTGATTGTGTGACATAGGAGACACATGCATAGGACTGCCCAGCATGGTATGCCCTCTTCAAGGAAGGTGCTGTGCTCTATGAGGAAAGCATAATTGAAGTAGCTCAAAAGAAATGTGAGATGTGCAGATTTAAAGAATCCAGCCCAAATGTTCACACAGACTACTTGTGCCTCACCTGTGATAGAGCATTCCAAGCTCATATCAGTCTGATCGGCCACAGTCAGACACACTGTAACTTGACTCTAACGAAGTGATGTCATTTTGGTCCTCTTCAAAGATGAAGGACAACAACCAATATGCCACGACTTGATCAGCCATTTCCCAATTAATGGGCATCTTCTCAATTTCCAAGTCTTTGCCACCACAGAAAAATCATGCGTGCATTTTTTGGCATGATCAGGGAATTTGTTTTGCTGAACTGTGCATATTTGTTAAGAGGGTTTTATTTTACATTTGTCGTTGTTGTTAAGTAGATCGAGGTGGGAGGCTGCAATAGGAGGAAGAGATAACAAATGTGTGTAAAAATGAGTAAATGAACAGGTGCAGAAATAAACAAATTGGTAAAAAGATAAAGAGACAATAAATGAATGAACTACTCATAGTATTAGAACCTTAGGATCATGGACTCTTAGAATATTCTTGCTATTTCTCACACAAGACACTCCATCCCTTGACTCCAGGCATTTTCACTGGCTGTCCCCCATCCCTGGAATGCCCTCCTCCATCACCTGTTATGCCTCCTGACTTCCATGGCTTTTTTCAAATTTCCACTAAAATCCCACTTTGTGTGGGAGCCTTTCTTTCCCCTTAACACTAGTGCCTTCCCTCTGAGAGTACCTCTAATTTATCTTTATGGACATAGTTGTTTGCATGTAATCTCCTCCATTAGAATGTGAGCTCACAGAGGGTAAGGACTGAGTCTTTGCTTGTCTTTGTATCCCCAGTGCTTAGCGAAGTGCCTGGCACATGGTAGGCACTTCATAAATGTTTACTGACTAACTACATAGTTGTTTGTATGTTGTTTCCCCCTTAGAATGTAAGCTCCTTGAGGGCAAGGACTAAGTTTGTGCTTTTCCTCATATACCCCAGCACTTAGCACATTGAACATAGTCAGTACTTAACAAGTATTTACTGACTGACTGACCAGCTAACTGGAATAATAGAATCATAGATCTAAGGATCTTAGACTCTCATAGAATCTTAGAATTAGAGAAGTTTAGCTTCTTAAAATTCTTGGAACCTTAGAATATTATACGTAGAACCTAAGACTTATAGACTAATAGAACTTCAGCCTTACCAACTCTTAGAACCTTTAGGATCTTACACTCTTAGAACCTTAGACTTATAGACTTAGAATCTTATATTCTTAGAACTTTAGACTTATAAACTCTTAGGATCTTATCATTTTAAATTCCTAGAACCTTCAACATATAGACCCTTAGAACCCCAGATAACAGATTGCTAGTCAATAAATCAATAAACATTTATTAAGTTCCTATAATGTGCCAGGCACTGTGCTAAGTGCTGGGGATACAAAAAGAGGCAAAAGACAGTCCCTGCCCTCAAGGAGCTTACAGTCTAGCGGAGGAGAGACAACATGTGAACAAATATGTACAAAGCAAGCTATATACAGTATAAGTAGGAAATAACAGAGAAAAGGCACTAGAATTAAGAAAGGAAAAGATGAGATTTTAGTTGGGATTTAAATGAAGCCAGAGAAATCAGTAGGTGGAGTTGAGGAGGGAGAGCATTCCAGTCATGTGAGACAGCCGGAGAAACTGTCTATAGCCTAGAGGCGGAGTGTCTTGTTCCTGGAACAGTCAGGAGGCCAGTGTCACTGGATTGAAGAGTATATGTCAGGGAATTAGGAAAGGTAGAAGGGGGCTAGGTTATGAGGAGCTTTGAATGCCAAACAGAGCATTTTGTATTTGACCCTAGAGGCAACAGGGAGCCACTGGAGTATGTGGGGGTAGAGGAAGAGTGACATGGCCAGACCTGGGCTTTGGGAAAATTACTTCGGTGGCTAACTGGAGGATGGACTGAATTTGGGAGACATTTGAGGCAGGCTGACCCACCAGCAAGCTACTATAATAGTCCTGGGATGCACTATAGAGGACCTGTATTAGAGGGGTGGCATTGTCAGAGCAGGGAAGGGAGCATATATGAGAGATGTTGTAGAGGTGAAATAGGTTTTGGCAACAGCTTGGATATGGGGGGTGAAATAGAGAGATTGAGAATCTCAGGATGGCTCCTAGGTTTCCAGCCTGAGGGACTGGGAGGATAGTGTTGTCCTCTACAGTAACAGGAAGGTAGGAGGTATGGAGGGTTTAGGGGGAAAGATAATAAATTCTGTTTTGGACATATCAAGTTTAAGATATCTACTGGACATCCAGTTAGAGATGTCTGAAAGACATTTGGAGGTGTGAGATTGGAGGTCAGCAGAGAGGTTGAGAAAAGATAAGTTGTTTTGAGAAACGTTGGTGTAGAGATGGTAATTAACTATAGAAGCTGATGAGACCACCAAGAGAAATAGTATAGAGGGAGAAGAAAAGAGGGCCTGGGACAGAACACGGGGGGGATACCTGTGGTTAGAAAGTGTCATCTGGAGGATGATCCAGCAAAGGAGACAGAAGAGGAGCAGTTAGATAGGTAAGAGGAGAACCAGGAGGGAGGATTGTCATGAAAACTTAGAAGAGAATATCAAGTAGGAGAGAGTGATCAAGAGTGTCAAAGGATGCAGAGAGGTTAAGGAGAATGAGGACTGAGAAAAGGCCATTGGACTTGGCAACTAAAAAATCATTAACTTTGGAGAGAGTAGTTTTGGTGGAATGATAAGGTCAGGAGGCATATTGTAGGAATTTAACTACAAAGGGCAGTAGAGATATAGGATGATAGCCAGCATGGAAGGGTCAAGCAAGGGTTTTAGGGTTTTTTGAGGAGGGGGAGACATGGGCATGTTTGTAGGCAGTAGGGAATGAGCCAGTAGGCAGGGAGAGATTGAAAATAAGTGAAAGAGTGGGGATGACAAGGGGAAAAATCTGTTGGGAGAGATGGGATTGAGTGGGATCATTTGGGCATATATGGAGGTTAGCCTTGGTAAAGAATAAGGCCACTTCAGCACGTGAGACAGGGGTGAAGGAGAAGGTGGCAGAATGCATCTGAGTGATAGGAGATGAGGAAGAGGGGAGCAGTGAAGCACTTCAATTTTTATTGAATTTTTATTGGTTTCTATTTTTTTCTATTTTTATTGTAAAATATGAGGTGAGGAGAAGGGGAACCATGGGAGGTTTGAGGACAGTTGACAAGGTTTGGAAGAGCTGCTGTGGAGAATGGGATAGTGAGTTAATAAAGGAGGTAGAGTAAGATCACTTAGAAGCAGTGAGGGCCCAGTTAAAATTATGTAACATAAAATTGTAGTGGACCCATTCAGAATGATTGTATGATTTTCTCCACTTTTGTTCAGCAGTATAT